AAAGAATCCTAACAAAAATGTTTTAGGGTTTCCACAAAAATATGAAGCAGCCAACTGTTTTCAACATTGATAATAATAATAAATCTCTTGAGCAAATCAGCATATTAGAATGATTTCTGAAGGATCATGTGACACTGAAGATTGGGGTAATGCTGAAAATTCAGCTTTCATCACAGGAATAAATGACATTTTAAAATGTATTCACATAGGAAAAATTTATTTTAAATTATAATATTATTCCACAATATTACTGTTCTTACTGTATTTTTTATCGAATGAATGCAGCCTGGGTGAGCATTAGAGACTACTTTCAAACACATAAAAAAAAATTACCAACCACAAACCTTTGAACAGTAATAATGTAGAATTAAATCTAACTGTACATTAAAATGAGGCCCTTAGACTTTATTTTTCATTTGTTAAAAACATTTCCCCACTGATTCGTGTGATTTCATTTCTGATAGTGAGAAATCCCTAGTAGTTGAGCCTGATAACAGATCAGGAGATTCGCTGCTGGGGTGCAGATGTTGTAACAGCACAGTAAAGCTGTCAAACAGCGTTAGACTTCTCATATGTTCTCTGATTTTCTTTTATTTTCATTCTCTTGTTAGGGGGTCTTTAGATGAACTTTCCTATTACTGTGTGCTGCTGGACTGGTTATTGAAGTCCAGCACAGACCAGACTGCTTTATTAAACACCTGTAGATGATGGATCATCTCTTTTAGATTTCTGTTTTATGATATATTATTAAACCCAACATGAATAATCCTTATTATTGCTTCTTTCTTTCTTTCTTTCTTTTTCTTTCTTTCTTTCTTTCTTTCTCATCTCAGCCTGTCTGCTCACTCTATGGCACACAAACGGTGTGTGTACAGTGTCTATGGCAGTGTTTAATAGCGAGGTCACCGTCACCATGAGTGATGACCTCCATTGTGATGTCATAATCAGAAGCACTGGACACGCCCCCGATGCGGTCAAGGATTCTGGGGAGTTTCTCATTACGCTCTAAGATTACAATCAGCCCTGAAACGGGACTAGAAAATAAATCAAAACATTTTGTATGTAACTTATTTATTTTTATATTTATTTTTTATTGTTCATAGAATTTCCTACAGTCTAATTAATTGATTTCTTTGTACATTTACAGTGTACAGATTATTTCCAGAAATATTCTATTATATTTAATAATTTTTATATTCATTTTTATGTTCATATAATTTCCCATAATTAAATTAATAAGTAAATAATTGATTTCTTTAATTTTTCATTGATGCAGTTTACAGAATATTTCCAAAAATATTATTATATTATATATTATATTACATAATTGTTTTATATTTATTTAATTATTATTTTATTCATTTATATAATTTTCTTCTGTTAAATCAGCAAGTTGTTTAAATAAATGATTTCTTATTTTTTTCACTGATACAGCATACATATTATTTCCAGAAATATTATATGATATTTTTTAGATTTAATTTATTTTTTTATCCATTTATTTAATTTCCTAATTTAGTAAACAGGTTATAAATTATATACTGTACGTTAATATTTAATTTTATATATTTAATTATATTTAATAAATTAATAACTCAATAAATAATTTTAATTTCATGAACCATTGTGTAAGAGCACTTAATTTCCTCATAATCCTCTAATGAACCCCAGTGTCTTTCCTGTGTTTAATTTTTTCCATTATTTTTCACCCAGCTTTCATCATCTCTCATCTGTTCCTGACACTAAACGAAGGACCATTAATCTTCTGGCCACTTTACTGACTCCCCTCAGGCAAGAATGCCCAGAATCCCCTGACACTTACGGCCGATCGTTCATACCTGCTGAGAGGCGTCCGGGGGTCAAAACATCTGTCATGCCACATTTGGTTTATGTGTCTATCTGAGGAGTGTTAAAATTGGGTGGTAATAAATCTTTGTGCACTCTGTCACACACAAACACACGGACATTAGATGGGTTCTTTTGTCATTATAGATGATTGCATGATACCTGCGGTTATAACCAAGGACAGAGAATAAGTAAAGAGAGAACTGAACTAATCTAGCTTTCTAATAAACCTGGCATTTTATACTACAAATATTAACAAACTGCTTATGTGCTTCTGCAAAGCACTGATTGGTCCTTTGAGGGCTCTGCTAGCTGCTGATTGGTTGTCACAATGCTTTGTTTTACTTCAACATCAGAATGGGCCTAAAAGTTAAAGTGTGTAACTCGAATTCTTAGAATGGCTTTAAATGTTGTGCTGCTTTTAAAATTGCTCTTTTTGTGTGAAAGGAATAGCATGCCAACCTCTGTCTCAACCACCGGTGTGAATGTAGGACTAGCAATAATAATATTTATCTGAACATTGGTAGATGTTGGCAGGGCACAAGGGCTGATAAAGAAAGCCTGCTTGGAAATAATGATTATTATTATGTTTGATGAAGCCAGTGTCACACAAATTACACACTTCAGCTTTGATGTTACTTGAAGTTACTGGTGGCCATCAAGACGTAATTTTTCCTCTCAGTCCTGGTAGTTTTTTTATGACACACCTTGTAAACATTCTCTCTCCTTGTCTTTGTCTGTTGCTAAAGTGAAAATCTTTGTACCAGTTTTAGATAATGTAAAAATGTCTTGCTTTTTGTATTATTTGTTTGCATTTATTTCACAATTATAGTTATATGTTTTTATAACTAAAACCATAAAATCTTTTGTTACTTTAACTGAAATAAAATTATATATATATATATATATATATATATATATATATATATGAACATTTTAGCATGGTGATGGATATGACAATGTTAATGTATTTGGTCTTGGCGGAAC